GCTAACATGTGAAGGGCTTGACTTGTGCCTGTGAAAAACAGTGAGCAAGGTTATTATGACTTATGAGTATGCTTTTAGCCACCGAAAACTACCTTTCGATTATAATTAATTTCACACTCTCTTCAGTCTCTTCTACTTTAAAGTCAAAACTCAATATTTTTTTTTTTTTAACATCGTCAAAACTCAATATCTTCTTTCTTTTTTTGCGTAAGAAATAAACTCGATATCTTTTTTTTTGTTTTTGAAAAACAATAAACTCCTTTGCGTAAGAAATAAACTCAATATCTTTCACTCCTTTGTTTACTTAAAACCTTTTTGTATAATCAAAAACATCGTACTTAATTTTCAGGATATGTGTAGACTGAGTTTTGCTGATATGCCTAGTTTGTAAGAAACTTTGGTTAATATATTAGTAGAAGTTGCGCCAAAAAAAAAAAAAAGTAAAATCTGAGGATCAAAATATTTAAAATCATGGCTTAGCTTTTCAAGTTTTCATATTTTCCCATTAAATCAATTTTTTTTTTCTGAACTCCGTTGAGTGACTTAGTCCATCTAGATTTTGTTCTTTTGGATTTTCGATTATGGAAGGAGACTTTTTTTTTTGTATTTTTTTAATTAATATGATGTCAAAATCCTCTCTACTGGCATAAGGAGGTTTGACTTCTCTTCTCTTGGGATAAAATAGGGTAGAGTGGACCCTGTTGCCAAACAACAAGAAAAAGACTTTTAAAATTTGGTTTCTATTTGGGCCTCTTAAAGGGCCCACTCGGTCGATATCAAGACAAATTGGGGCATGACCCATCATCATATTATTTACGATACTAACTTTTTTTTTTTGGTTAGAAAGTGAATATATTGTTTTCTATTTACACTCAAGTTACTTTAACTCAACAATCCAAAATTTTTTGAGATATTGGTTTGTGGGAAAAGTTGTGAATAATTAATTCCTGCAACACCGAGCATCGCCCACCGGCCATTGACTAGCTCAGCTTGAACGAACCATTTCAAGTTCTCAGGGTCCTCTGCTAGAGCCAGAAGATCAAAACCATTGTCACCAGCAAGACTGTTCCAAAAAGGAAAACCATACAATTTATAATCAACTTAACCGGAATCCGGTTCAACTTGGTCTAATTATTCTAACCAAACCGATAAAAACTATGGTATTATTGATCATGTAATTATAGTCGCTAATACGTTAAAAATGCAAGATTTTGGTTGGTCTAATATTTGCGGAATACATTTATTATTTTTCGTATAATTGTGTAAAATCGCTAGGCGCCTGAAGGAGGTAGCTTCCTTGATGGTCTTGAAGTTCGTGTTGCCATTGGAAAAGTTTGGAAGCAGTCTTTATCAGAACTCAGCGGAGGACAAAGATCTCTTCTTGCGCTATGGCTAACCTCGGCGTTGTTTCTCTTCAAACCGACTCCTCTTTATATATTAGACGAGGTACATACACCTGATCTGCTTTTTTATCCTCAGATTCATCGGTAAGGTATCTTTAATTAGTGGAAAACTGATTCGCGAAACAATCAACGATTTTTGAATTGTTCATGTAGATGCAGCTCTTGATCTCACACACAGAACATAGGAAGAATGATAAAAGCTCATTTCTCAACCCTTTATGTTGTTTACTTAAAATCCAATTTTTGCTGATACCAAAGGACATGAACAAAGTGTTAACGAAACTAGAGCTGAGCAAAAACTAAGTGCTATTAATCAGATCAAAACGCAGTGCTTCAATGATAAGATAAACAAGATGCAGGCCCAACAATAGCAGAATCTACGAATCCCAATACAGAGAAGATTCACTCAACCCCAACGGCTATCTCCTCTCTCTGTTTCAAAAAAGACAAAGAAGCTTTGCCAGCTATGGAGGTAAGGTTTGGAACCATGACCTTTGAATAGCAATGCGACATATGTCCAGAGGAAGAGACACTAGGGTTTAACATTCACACTATAATCACCTTATCTTGTAATTGAAACCCTAAGAAAATAGACACTAGGGTTTCATCTTCGAAGTTTACATCTTTTCCCTATTCTTAAGAGTTGCTCTATTTTGCTTTCACAAAGCAGACCAAGTGATCTACTTGAGACCTCAATCGAATCATATATTAAGACGCTTAATGTTTTGTTACTTGTCTATATTTTTTACTTGGAATGCTTAACCTCAAGGATTCAAATTCTGATATTAACCATCATATATATATGGTAATATGGACGATATATATATTATCACATGCGTGCACGCATATAACTCAATATTTTCATTAAAGAAAAAATTGAAGACGAAAGAGGAAAGACAAGATAAAAGGAAAAATAGTCTAATATCCTCTATATATTAATAGAGGAGACACGAGGTGAAAATCCTATGTGTCATTCTAAGAGGGTTTTAAGAAATTTATTTCCTAATAAAAATTAGTAAAAATTATTAAAAATTCTTAATAACAAATATATGNAAATAACGAATATGTGGTAATTAATATAGAGAATTTTATTTAAGAAATATAGAAAATATTTGAAAATATCTTATTTTCTTTTCAATAATACTATATTTTTTTATCCGAGTCAAAAACGGTATTAAAATATTCAAAAACAAAAATTCATGACTATTTTTAATAGATGGGAGAAATAAAAAATAACAAAGATAAAATATATTTATGTTTGATCAAAATTTAGTTTTATTCATAATACATATCATTTTGGTGTATTTATAAATGTTAGAATACACGTCTAACTATTAAATTCAATTAAAAATCTTCTATATATTAATAGATGATACACTAGGTAAAAATTCTAGGTGTCATCCTAACAGGGTTTTAAGGAATTCATTTCCTAATAAAAATTAGTAAAAATTCTTAATAACAAATATATGGAAATAACGAATATGTGGTAATTAATATAGAGAATTTTATTTAAGGAATATAGAAAATATTTGAAAATATCTTATTTTCTTTTCAATAATACTATATTTTTTTATCCGAGTCAAAATCGGTATTAAAATATTTAAAAACAAAAATTCATGATTATTTTTAATAGATGAGAGAAATGAAAAATAACAAAGATAAAATATATTTATGTTTGATCAAAATTTAGCTTTATTTACAATACATATCATTTTTGTGTATTTATAAATGTTAGAATAAACGTCTAAAT